GTGCACTGCAGAAAAAGCAAAAAAAACACACAGAAACGAAGAAAACGCCGGCGTGGAACGCGCAAACACGGTCGCCTCGGTGGGCGCCATGTTTGTTCAAACTTTAGATTAAAATATAACTGCCCACAGACCATAACCTGAAGTATCTTTGGAACATATGATAAGATACAATAACACTTCATTATCAAATAAAATCTGAAATTTGTCTTGTGACACAAGTTGGCTCAGATGCCAAAGAATCCCAACAACACTAACAAACGATAACAGTAAACAGCAAACCACTTCTACAACACCCACTTACATAATTATCATGATCTCGGGATACAGATCTTAAATAGCCACACCCTGATTTTGATTTAACAACAATATGGACTGATGAGCAAAAAAGTATTTCAGCCTGTTCTTTCTAAAATAAGGAATTTTAAATCACCTGTTGGAGGACAGAATTTGATATTTGCTATTTAAGATGTGAGAAATCAGAGGAGATGCTTTTATTGTGGCCTGCTTGGAAGGAGGAGCCAGACTTTCATGATTGGGTCAATATGGAGGCCAATCTTAATCAGGGTTGTTGAAGGACAGGAGAGCATTGGTCCAGCAGCAACCCTACAATGAATATCTCTCCAGGACTTTGCTATACAGAATGTTGTAGAGACTTTGTGTTATATGTGAAAAGTCAGGTCTCCCTGTGTAGCATACAAAGATCTCCTGCAGAATGAGCAGAGTACAAGTTGAGGCCACTCTCACACCCACACCATGGTCGTACATGAGGCTGCTAGATGACACTGGTTTTCTCCTGTCAGGGGTTGCCCCTTCTCTACTGGTGCGGTTGCAGTCTCTTTTGTTCTAAGCCCTTGGCTGGACCTTCTATTTCCTCTTCTTTTCATCTGCTGTCTTGTTTTCCAGGTGCAACGCCACCTGTTCTCTCCCCCAGTTCATTTCCTCCTTTTCTTCTTCGGGCACCGTGCTGCCCACTATCCTTTTGGCCGTGGGTACCGGGTTACCAGCGACTCCCACCGTCTACTATGGCACCGGGCCCCTCATCGCTCACTTGGTTTTGGGGACTTGTGGAGAGTGAAACAAATTTCCAATTTATGTCTCTCTCTGGTATCGGCCCTGATCTTTCTCACGTCACTCATCCTGTATCAAAGTTGCCGCTACAGCTTCCGCAAAAGGAATCCCTGACCCCTTTACCAAGACCATGGGCTGCTGGACTCATCCTCATTCTACTTTTGTAGGTACCAAACCTCGAGACTCTTAACCTTAACATTCAGTCTGCACTGCACAAAAACAGTTTTTGGGGTCTGTCAGTGCCCGAGAGTGACGCTGACCTCTTTAGCTTTCCCCAAAACTGTCAAGTCCATAAGCATTCTCTATCCTTTTACTTTCATTTGTACTTAGTGAGGGCAGGTCCCTGCTAGTGAACAGGGTCTTAACTGACTTCTTTTAAGACTGTGTGATTCTGCAGTTGACAGTTGTTGAGGATTACGGGGAAGACAGCTGAAACAATGGTCTGGCAACCAAGTGCAGCAAAGCAATGTAAGTATGGAATTTTGTTGCTGATTAAAGAGATTTTTCTCTCATGTCTTGATATTTCACAGATTCTCTGTCACTCCCATCAGTCCTCTGTGATTTAAGTGCTGAGAGCAAGTTCTCAACACCCCTGGCTTGGATGCTGTGGGCTAGCACTGATGAACATGCACAAAGCAGCCACACATCGATGAAAAAAGCTGCTTAAAACACACATTTCTACCAGAAACAGGACTGCCAATGTGTTGTTATGAAAATGATATAATTATCCATGCTTACAGCTGAGGTCAGAGATGAGCAGAAGCTCACAGCCACAAGTGGTTTTGAAACACAGCTAGTGTGGAGATTAAGCACCCCCCAGTTGAGAGCTGTCTATGTTATATATAATGCTGGAGAGAGTATAATGGTCATGAGGTTAGTTGTCCTCTTTGGATGTTTGATTGCATTATTTCCAGTGTGTCTGGAAACATTCCCATTCTTATGTTTCCTCTGTAAAGGTGGGGCCTCTAATGTAGGCTGTTTGACAAACACCCCCACGACCCCCACCTTATGGTCATCACAATATCAAGAATAGGCTATGAAGTGAGATTCATCTTAATGATATCTCAACTACTGGATGAATTAACATGAAACATGGATTCCAGATGATGAGTCCTATTGACTTTGGTGGTCCCCTAACTCTTCTAGTGGCAGAATGAGGTTGGCATTTAAAACTTGAGTGAAATGTCTTTGTAGGTGTGGCTGCACATGGGTAAAGATATGGTTACCAGAGGATGGTCCTAATCACTTTGGTATTTTCTTGACTTTTCTCTGGTGCCACCATGAGTTTTTGTGTGAAATAGCTCATTAATTATATTATACTCAATAGATTGCCATAAAATTTGGTGCAGACATTCATGATACCCTCAGGATGAATATAAAATACTTCATAAACCATTGAGAGGAAACTCCATACAGTAGCTCTGGCTTACGGTTACTAGGCCAGCATCAAAGTCTCTGTCACAAATCTTGGCTTCCAGAGCCACCTGGATAGAAAAATAAGCAAGGCTTGATGGGATGCTTGCCACCCCGAGGGTCTTGAAATGAGCCAAAGTCTAGTTGGCACTGGTCAGTAATGAGCCTGCAGCTTTGGTCTTCTTTCCAACCACAGTCACTGCAAGCCAGTAAAGAGCACCAGGCTACTGAGTTGATCCTGACCACTTTGAACTCCTCAACAGACTAGACCAGTGTCCAAGCAAATCCTCCAGAGAGGTCATATTTGGTCATACATCTACAGTACATGAGCCAGGATGGTCTTTTTATGGCTGTGTCTAGCCTGTAGTCTGTGTTTTGAGAATTAGTGAATTATTAAGACAACTATGAAGAGATCTTATGCACAGAAGCCTTAAATGTGTGGAGATTCAAAGAGTGTAAATGAAAAATACTTTGAAAGCTGATGTTAAGTTACCAGTAGCTGGACCTAGAATATCCCACACCACCTCTATGTGAATGAACCACTGCATTGGCCTGTGGGTTGGGCCACACCACACCAATATGGTAATTGTACAGGTTTAACTTAGAGGAGAATTCATTCATTTATTTTTTTCTCTAGTTAGAGGATGAGTTTGTTAATGGTTTTTGCTGACCACAACCATGCAAACACAGCAGTAGTGGCCACATCTGGTCAGCAAATGTGTCATGTCTTCTTGTATACACATCAGAAATTGCCAGATTAGAGTGTTTACAATGCAGCGCCACATATCACCTTCACCTCTGTGCTACAAGATCAAATATGCTGGGAGAAATACTCTTTGAAAGGAGCATCAAAGATAGGGTGCTAAAAACAAGATGAATAACAAATTTTCATTCCCACATGTTTACAGTGCCTTGCGAAAGTATTCGGCCCCCTTGAACTTTGTGACCTTTTGCCACATTTCAGGCTTCAAACATAAAGATATAAAACTGTAATTTTTTGTGAAGAATCAACAACAAGTGGGACACAATCATGAAGTGGAATGAAATTTATTGGATATTTCAAACTTTTTTAACAAATAAAAAACTGAAAAATTGGGCGTGCAAAATTATTCAGCCCCCTTAAGTTAATACTTTGTAGCGCCACCTTTTGCTGCGATTACAGCTGTAAGTCACTTGGGGTATGTCTCTATCAGTTTTGCACATCGAGAGACTGAAATTTTTGCCCATGCCTCCTTGCAAAACAGCTCGAGCTCAGTGAGGTTGGATGGAGAGCGTTTGTGAACAGCAGTTTTCAGTTCTTTCCACAGATTATCGATTGGATTCAGGTCTGGACTTTGACTTGGCCATTCTAACACCTGGATATGTTTATTTGTGAACCATTCCATTGTAGAATTTGCTTTATGTTTTGGATCATTGTCTTGTTGGAAGACAAAGCTCCGTCCCAGTCTCAGGTCTTTTGCAGACTCCATCAGGTTTCCTTCCAGAATGGTCCTGTATGTGGCTCCATCCATCTTCCCATCAATTTTAACCATCTTCCCGGTCCCTGCTGAAGAAAAGCAGGCCCAAACCACGATGCTGCCACCACCATGTTTGACAGTGGGGATGGTGTGTTCAGGGCGATGAGCTGTGTTGCTTTTACGCCAAACATAACATTTTGCATTGTTGCCAAAAAGTTCGATTTTGGTTTCATCTGACCAGAGCACCTTCTTCCACATGTTTGGTGTGTCTCCCAGGTGGCTTGTGGCAAACTTTAAACGACACTTTTTATGGATATCTTTAAGAAATGGCTTTCTTCTTGCCACTCTTCCATAAAGGCCAGATTTGTGCAGTATACGACTGATTGTTGTCCTATGGACAGAGTCTCCCACCTCAGCTGTAGATCTCTGCAGTTCATCCAGAGTGATCATGGGCCTCTTGGCTGCATCTCTGATCAGTCTTCTCCTTGTATGAGCTGAAAGTTTAGAGGGACGGCCAGGTCTTGGTAGATTTGCAGTGGTCTGATACTCCTTCCATTTCAATATTATCGCTTGCACAGTGCTCCTTGGGATGTTTAAAGCTTGGGAAATCTTTTTGTATCCAAATCCGGCTTTAAACTTCTCCACAACAGTATCTCGGACCTGCCTGGTGTGTTCCTTGTTCTTCATGATGCTCTCTGCGCTTTAAACGAACCTCTGAGACTATCACAGTGCAGGTGCATTTATACGGAGACTTGATTACACACAGGTGGATTCTATTTATCATCATTAGTCATTTAGGTCAACATTGGATCATTCAGAGATCCTCACTGAACTTCTGGAGAGAGTTTGCTGCACTGAAAGTAAAGGGGCTGAATAATTTTGCACGCCCAATTATTCAGTTTTTTATTTGTTAAAAAAGTTTGAAATATCCAATAAATTTCGTTCCACTTCATGATTGTGTCCCACTTGTTGTTGATTCTTCACAAAAAATTACAGTTTTATATCTTTATGTTTGAAGCCTGAAATGTGGCAAAAGGTCACAAAGTTCAAGGGGGCCGAATACTTTCGCAAGGCACTGTAGCTTGGCTCAGGGTTGCCAGTGTACGGGACTTTCCGCTGGCACCACACGCCACACTACATACTGCTGAATTTACTCAAGAAAAATTGCCAAGAGTTAGTGAGTTAGAAATGTGAGTGACTGAAAAGAGATGTACAACGCCCATGCTAGAAACTGCTGACTGCTGCGGTCTCTGCCAAATCATCCTGAAAAGAGATGTAACACATTAGGGACCACCCCGGTGAGAAGGGAACAGGGTGAGGCTCTGTCCAGACTGACAGAAAGATTGACTGCATCCTATCCGCTGTTGCTTCCAAAATGTGCCCAGCTCTCAGTTTAGGTAATGGCAATTCAGCTATGTTATCATTAATATCAGATTCCTCTTAACAGTTATTGCTGTGTCTTAAAGTTTGATTCAGTACATGTGTAGTAATTATGGGAAGTACTACAGGCATGGATAAAGTTATCAGGTTGTACAAGTCAGTCCAAAAGGGACATGATATAACTCTCACTCAGGCTCCTCTTTGCTTTCTGTTTTAGCACTGCAAGTATCTTCTTGTTTGAGGGTGTCAGCCACTCAATGGCATTATGGGAATACCGTCCAGGACACTCTGGGGAGGACATTAAAGACCAGAAACAAGTGAGGACATGGACATGACAGCAAGTGTTTGCTTTGTTCTGAGTGTGAGCTATGTGAGGATCTGTGTGCATTTTTTTTTTTTTAATGCTGACTAAGCCAAAAAAGTTCTTTTTAATTTTACTCCCAAGTTTTCTGAAAACATGACCTCTTCACACATTTGTGAAGACTGCGTCCTTCATTTGAGCAAAGCTGAAAAAATGGGATGACAGCACACCAGTGGCTGTGAATACACACAATAATCATTATTTATTGTCTCTTCTCCCTTTAAACTATCATAATCAGTCAGATCGACTATTAGGATGTGGGAGAAATCCCACTGCTCTTTGCGTCTTTCCCAGAGTCACTCTTGGCAATTAATCAAATTTCACTAACATGATGATGGAATCCCCCAAAATTTAACCCTTCCATTCCAGATCATCATCATCATTTCAAAGCTCTTGTTTTTTTTTGGTGGATCTTCAGGCTAAACTAAAACAAAGGTGGACTCAGAAGGCAAGACTCAGAACTAGGACAATTGATAATTTATTAGTTTTCGCAAAGATGTGAATGAATAAGATTCTGGGAACTACCGGTTATTTGGAGAGTCCTCTTGGTTAGAGAGGAATGCCCCAGCATGAGCTATAGCTTGTGGTTTGGGGAGTTCAGAGTTGGCAGGCGGCAGGGCCAGGTGGGTAGGCAGAAGAAGGACAGGTGAGTGGTTGGTGTGGCTGGAGCACCAGGGAGGACAGGTGAGTGAAAAGGTGCTGGAGGGAAGCAGACAGGGAGGGAGAGAGAGAGAGATGGGGAGAGAGAGGGACTGAGCTGCCATAACAGCCCTTTGCATACTGGGCCAACTTCTCCACAAAACATGCAAATTTAATCAGATTCAGCATTGTCAGTGGACTGCACTTGACACATTTTTCATCCACTGAATTAATTTGTGATTTTGTTACAGTCATTGGAGAATGCAATAGCAAAATTTCTGTGGTAAAGTAAAAATTACATCAGCAAAGAATTTATGCAGAATAACTTCTCTAAAGAAATAAACTTCCAGAGAAATATACTGTACAGTATATGACACTTACATTTTCTAACACTGACACCCTGTTTTTATTACCTCATAAATATGAAAATCTCATATTTTCTATCTGTTGCCAAGTATGAAAATAACATTTAAGTCTGTTATGCAACAAAAAGGAGTTCCTGGGTGTTTATGACAAGGAGATGGAGCTATTTTTTGTTTAGAGTTGTGATTAACAACCTCCATGTTGCCTCCAGATGTGGTTTTGCCTCATACACAACCCGAGCAAATTTTTTAATCAACTCACCAATTAAAGAGTGACCCTACACAACACTATCCATCATCATAAGGGATGATGCAGTGATCTAATAACTAGATCCGACTCCTTGCTGCAAACACTGAGCTATTCTTTATGCTAAATGGTGGACAGATGGTCGGGCCTTCTGCAAGCAATCATAGCCAGTGATTACCAAACCTCTCATCACATAGTATCTGCTAGTGAGATTAAACCAATAAGGTGGTGGGAAACAGTAGTAGGATCGATACGAATTTGACCATCACTTGATTTTAGCCAGGCTTTTTTGTGGGTAATATCTTAGAATACCGCAGAATCTGTTTATTTTCAGAGGCAGATGTAAAATGTTCTAGATGAAGCAACAAGGAACACACAGAGGCCAGGCTGTTTGTGAATATCCTCTTCATTTGTCCATTATGAAATCCCCTGTAGCCTTAGACTATTTCCAAACACAAAAGCTAGTAGAGAACAAAGATTTCAAGCCAAATGTTGCTATGAACTCTAAATAAAGCCAACAGGGGCTAGACCTTTATCAAGAGCCGATCTCTGGGCTGGCACAGTTAAGTAGAAACAGTTGAAGGACAATTTTATGACTTTACCAGTATGTTAACAGCTCCCGATCACTGTCATGTCTATCATCAAGCAATTTTTTTTGTTTTACTCAGCTGTCATCTTGTTTTATTCATTTTGCAATTTACTTCTTCCCTACATAAAAGAACAGTCTGGTGGAAAGTACTGTAACATTGGATTTGTTGTCATATTCAGTTCACTCCATAATGATAGAGTGATAAAGTACAAACAACCTTGATATGTTCTTGTATTGTCATGTTTCATTACCAGTCTTGTTTCTAAACATTTGTCATAGAAAGGGAAAAAAACCCTGTTCTTATCTTTGCAGCATAATTTATCTCAATAAGCAGTTCATTCAGTAAGGTGAGATATATATATGATACATTTATTATGTATTTTGCTTGAGTATTTACATGTTGTGTTGCTTCTGCATTTATGAGGCTACTATTGCTCTTCTTACTCCACTACATGTACCTGACGTCTATAGCATCTGGTTACTTTGTAAATTAATTACCATTCTAGGAATAGAAATAACTGTTTGTTAAATATGAAGCTACAGATATGGGCTGGTTAGATTAAACTGGTTACAAGGGTACAAGGAGGAGCAGCCAGACTCTGCCCAACTGTACGAGCCAGGCCAGCCAGTCAGGAACAAGCCAAGTGTTTAAAACCATTGTAAAAATCACCAATTTCTCACTTTTACACTTTGACTTTTTTTTTATCTTTTTGAGGAAACTTTATTCCAAGATGCTTGGCTCTGATATTTCTGTCATTAGAACATCCAAAAACAGCACAAATTTTTTTTTTTTTTTTACTGTTTGAACTGGTCAGAACAAACCTGATCCCAGAGCCAATATGGTGACAGGTGAGACACATCTCATAAACCTCAGTGTGTAGAGATTATCAGTTAATTGCTGATTTACATCTTGTTATCTTCTGGGAAATAATTTAAGGAACGTGAATTATACACACACCTTTCACCCTCTTATGTGGCCTTGGGCAAGGCATTCCTCTGCTGGTGTGTATGTAAAGCATTCTGCCCTTACTTGATAAATAAGAGTGAAAATAAGTATTGCTTGACCCCTCAGTTTCAATTCAGTTTGGTCTTTCCAGTTCCATTAGTTGAACTGTCTAGTCTACTTTACTCCCTGACCTGATGGTGAATAATATGCAGTAGGTGACTGTTGGGTCACATACATTGTTCATGATGCCATGTGAAGTCATGAGAATCAGCAGAACAAGTAAACTCACTTCTTCTGGCATTTAAGGCTTTTTAGCAGCATGCCTGTCTGCAGGCGTATTAAAACTTGGCTCTGTAATGAACATTTGCCCTTGAAGCCTACTGAGTGCTTAGTGCTGCTCAGGCGATAGGGCTCTAGAGACACGGGGCCTCTCTTCCTGCTCCCTACAGAGCACTCGAGTATAAAACTCAGCTGTACCAGCAGGCTGGGGGTAGAGTCATATGAATACTGTTGCATTACAGTGAACTCAGATTTAACTAAAGAAAGGATACATTCTGTAGTTGTTCCTCTGCAGAAATGAACTGTGCGAGCAGATGGGAATAGCAGATTTACCAGCGCTGTGACTGCTTTCTGTTTATAGTTTTGTCATTATCATCTTGCAACCTTTGCCCAGGGTGATGTGAACTCCACTGCTACGGCATGGGAGATGTACGCTGACTGAGACCCTGCAAACACACTGACTTCTCAGTCTACTGTGAACATGCCAATTTACGTGTGTGTGTATGAGACACAGGGTGAAGCTGAGTATGAGGGGCCGTATAAGACATTATGTATTCTCGATGTTTCACACACATACATTTTCACTCTCACATGCATATATTCTTCTCACACATGTATACAGTGCCTTGCGAAAGTATTCGGCCCCCTTGAACTTTGCGACCTTTTGCCACATTTCAGGCTTCAAACATAAAGATATAAAACTGTAATTTTTTGTGAAGAATCAACAACAAGTGGGACACAATCATGAAGTGGAACGAAATTTATTGGATATTTCAAACTTTTTTAACAAATAAAAAACTGAAAAATTGGCCGTGCAAAATTATTCAGCCCCCTTAAGTTAATACTTTGTAGCACCACCTTTTGCTGCGATTACAGCTGTAAGTCACTTGGGGTATGTCTCTATCAGTTTTGCACATCAAGAGACTTAAATTTTGCCCATTCCTCCTTGCAAAACAGCTCGAGCTCAGTGAGGTTGGATGGAGAGCATTTGTGAACAGCAGTTTTCAGTTCTTTCCACAGATTCTCGAGTGGATTCAGGTCTGGACTTTGACTTGGCCATTCTAACACCTGGATATGTTTATTTGTGAACCATTCCATTGTAGATTTTGCTTTATGTTTTGGATCATTGTCTTGTTGGAAGACAAAGCTCCGTCCCAGTCTCAGGTCTTTTGCAGACGCCATCAGGTTTCCTTCCAGAATGGTCCTGTATTTGGCTCCATCCATCTTCCCATCAAGTTTAACCATCTTCCCTGTCCCTGCTGAAGAAAAGCAGGCCCAAACCAGGATGCTGCCACCACCATGTTTGACAGTGGGGATGGTGTGTTCAGGGTGATGAGCTGTGTTGCTTTTACGCCAAACATAACGTTTTGCATTGTTGCCAAAAAGTTCGATTTTGGTTTCATCTGACCAGAGCACCTTCTTCCACATGTTTGGTGTGTCTCCCAGGTGGCTTGTGGCAAACTTTAAACAACACTTTTTATGGATATCTTTAAGAAATGGCTTTCTTCTTGCCACTCTTCCATAAAGGCCAGATTTGTGCAGTATACGACTGATTGTTGTCCTATGGACAGAGTCTCCCACCTCAGCTGTAGATCTCTGCAGTTCATCCAGAGTGATCATGGGCCTCTTGGCTGCATCTCTGATCAGTCTTCTCCTTGTATGAGCTGAAAGTTTAGAGGGACGGCCAGGTCTTGGTAGATTTGCAGTGGTCTGATACTCCTTCCATTTCAATATTATCACTTGCACAGTGCTCCTTGGGATGTTTAAAGCTTGGGAAATCTTTTTGTATCCAAATCCGGCTTTAAACTTCTCCACAACAGTATCTCGGACCTGCCTGGTGTGTTCCTTGTTCTTCATGATGCTCTCTGCGCTTTAAACAGACCTCTGAGACTAT